GGCTGAAACACTGACAAGATCTTTAAATTTAATCCTCTGTTTTCCATTTAAGAAATCTACATGTGTGAGTTTGAGGAAAGCAACAAAATATTCTCAATCAACCTTTAAAAAAAAAGATAAAATATAAATAGTCTGCCAACATATTTTCCATTCTAACCCAGCTATAACAAATGGATTAATTGTTGTCTAATTTAATCAGATGGCTTGCTGATAAAATTTGAGCAAAGACTTGATGTGTGTCCAGCACCTGACAAATTGGTATGGGTTTTTCAAATATGAGAAGTCTGTCCAGATGGCCCTAGAATGAAGTATAGTATTCAAAATGTTGTTCCCAGAGAATTGGCCAGCTGTATCTAACATGAAAATGCTTCTCTGAATTTTTAAAAAAGCATTAAGTATAATGGAGAATACTGGAGAGAGCATTTAAATGTAATCCATTCACAATTTAGAGTAATTGACTCATTTGGCAGGAGTCATCTGAAATTAGGCTTTAATGGGCACAACTGTTCACACATCAATCTCAGACAAACTATGACTAGAACTAAGATGCTAACTTTTTGGAAATTGCCACTCAGTTTGTTCTTATAGCTACCACCTTTCTTGACATTATTTTGAAATTTTCCACTGACAACAAAATACCTTTCTAAAGGAGTCCAATTATTATTATTCTACTGAGAAACATCTGAGGGTACCTTAAATCCATTTAAACATACATAAATATAATTAGGGCTCAACAGTTGGGAGCAGAAAGACAAACACCTATATTTGTATCAAGAAGATATTTTTGGATGAGCATTTTGTAAAAGGCTTGAACGAGGGCTGGAAAATATGGATAAGTCTTACACATTAGAGGCAGAGTCACTTTTTGTATCCCTAAGAAGCTTTTATGTTTCACATTACCATCTTCCTGGAGTTCACCCATACCCTTCATAGCAGAATTTTGTACTGCCATCTGACAAAGCTGTACTCAGCCCAAGATTATGATCTTTCCCATCTGCCAAGGGCTGAAAGTGTAGCCAGAGAGATAGAACTGAATCCTTGAACTTCCCACCAGAGCAAAGAAGCAAATTTAGCAGGGTCCTAAAGAAGACCCATTAAGCCTTTGTCACATATCCATCAAAAAGATGATCATAATCTGCACTTTACATGCTGGAATGGTACTAAAGAATAAACAAATAAAACTATTTCCATTAAGACAGACAGAATTCACCAAGAGGGGAAGAAAGAATGTCATTTAGTGGATGTATCTACATTTAGAAGAGGAAAAAAATTCTTGAGATGTACTAATATAATCATATGTAATATCAAAATAGGCTTCTATTGTTATTTCTTGCAGTACAGGACTCATTCTATCATAAATGAAAGCTGTATGAAAGTTTTCTTTGCTTTAAGTGTTCATACAGTGTTTAGACTTCTTTCCTTCTTGCAATCTTCAAAGGTAGATCAGGTCACTAGTAATTGATTTTAAAATACTTGTTCAATTTGATTTGTAGAAACAAACTGAAGACAGATAACAAGGATATCAAGAGCTGCTTATATATAAGAACATATTTAAAAAAACAAGCTGTAAAATCCAACAGAAAACCCCACAATAATCTACAACTGTGATCCCATTTAATTTACCTTAGTAATATACATATTGATTTTGGCAGGCAAGATAGGTACTAACCTAATTCATTTGCATACATAGCACACAAATACACCAAATGCAAATACACCATCCAAACCCCAAATTTTTAGGATATGAGTAATGTAGATTAAATCAGATGCAACAAAATCAGTTATGCTTATGCTCTCCTTCACTTGTATTGCTTCATGACGCACTTGTTTTAAACAAAATGTAAAAAGTAATGGGGTTTTTACTGTGAGATGGTGCATGGGACAAATATACTAGACAGTACCAATTGCAGGAAACACTGAAACACCAGGAAAACATTAGAGAACATATGAGTGGAGGTGGCTGTTAAGGAAAGTAGTCTTCTTCATAGGTGTTTCCTAATAGGAGATTAGATTTAGTAATCCTTATGGTCTATCGCTTTAGAAGAAAATATGTTTTGCTCTGTATGGCAGTGAGAATGGTAGTGATATTAAAACGTAGGGAGGGTAGGAAAATGGGAAGGAAGGAGTAACCCAATATTCTCCAAAATCCTGGAAGTTTTTCAGGATGTTCACAAGTGGACTGCAAAGTGAGAAAATGAAAATACTAAAATAATTTAAAGCTTAATTATTTCAGTGGTTTTCTTTGGAGTAAAAAGTAAAAGAATTTTGCTTCTCTACCCCTTTCCCATCTCATGTAGATGCAGAAATCCTCCATAAGGTATACAGTAGCATATCTGTAAATTGTCTTCAAATAAGTCTGAAACATTAATAACAGAGAAGGTACAATGTTTTTTAATCTCATAACAGTTACTTTTATGTGTTAAGTGTGTGATAGCCTGGGGTTTATGATGAAGGGCCATATTGGCAAGTGTTGAAGGGAAGTTTGGAAGCAACAAAATAAGAGGAGTAGAGGAACAAGTTTTGGCTTCTCCCCAGCACATGTCAAAATTTTCCAAAGAAAACACAGAAACATCTCTACTGTGTTCTTAATAAAAAATAAGAGTGGGGAAAAAAAACCCAAACAAATAAAACAAAACAACCAACCAACCAACAGACAAATGAACAAAAAAAGACAATCTTTAACATTTGTGTGTATATGAGGTTTCAAAACTGTGCTCTCTACAGTGGCTTTGTTCCTGCCAGCCAACAAAATTAATTAGGCAGTCAGAGCAAATTCAGACAACTGCATGATTTTAAATAAATCCTTTGATAAAGTTAGTAGCTATTTTTTTTCTAATAAAGTGTTCTAAAGTTTTAAAAAATTCAATGGATTCCTGAAAAATAAGTGTGGAAAATTTGGAGACCAAATCAATTAATAAGCTGGGAGTTAAAGGGATTTTAGCCCTGCCTTAAATGAAAAGTCTTAGTGCAGCTTGAGCTGCACAGTTTCTGTGAAAAGTCTCAGTAATATTTGTCTTCAGTGCACATATTACCCCACATGAATGTCACTGACATACAGTAAAGAACAGTCATCTGCTGATAGTATGAAAAATTCTTAACGTAGAGAAGGTGTGGTTTTAATAAAGTTACAATGAGTCTAAACAAATAGTTGCTACAAATATGACTACCAAATATTCTTATTATGACCTTGCTTTAGAAAATTCAAAAGAGGCACCCATGCTGCCTTGATTCTTGAACAGCAAATCTGTGAATGTCTCAATAACTTCAAAATTAATATGAAGGCACTTCCAGCATGATACTTCTGCATTGATATGCTAACTGTGATCTGAAAGAGGTGTATCTACAAAGGCAGTGCAGAAAATTGAGAAATAACTGTCCTGTTTATATGAATATGGTGCATACTTATGAGTATGCTTATGATGTCTTGTTTCCTTAAGAAGGCAAATGAAAAGATGCTCTAAAGGAAACATCAGAAGTGGCAAAACAATGAAAAAGTCACTGAGAAGATAAAGAGGAAGGTAGCCTTTGTGAAATATCTTATTTTGCCCTCTCAAAGTCAAGCTGAAAAGACAGAGACAGGTACTCACTCCAGAGGATCTGAAACATAAAAAGGAGAAACACATTTTTCCCAGCTAACTTTGCACACTCAGCTGAAGTGCCTAAGTAATAGTATTTTTTTCTTATTAGAGGGCACACACGTCTTCAAAAAGCAGTTTCACCTGTCCAGGATCTTCACTGTCCTCTACAGACATGTCTCTCATATTACGAAAGGAATAAAGGATGCCTGCACTCTCTCTAGTCTGCTCCAGCTCTATGCTATGAAACTTGGGAAGAGATAGGATGGCAAAGGCAAAGACCTAGATGCAAAAGAAGCAGAAACTGCTGAAGAGCAATTAACTTCTCATGCCTCCAGAAATTGTGGCAACTACTCCCTGAAAAGGTATACAAACATGAAAAGAAGGCTATGATCACACAGAACCATCAGAAATACAGATGCAGACCTCATTTTTTCACCATCCAGTTTGCAATGTCTTTAGATGAAAGTTTGTCTTGATGAAAAAAACTTGAAAGGAGAGAGCTTATTAAAGTAAATGTGAATCAGGCCCATCATGCCAATGCAACTGTGAAACAAGGGCCTATGGTTCTACCCAAAAGGAAGGGCAGAAAGCCAAAAGTGCCATCAAGGGACAAGAAGTTATCTACCCTATAAACAAGGCAGACAGCAATTCCAAAATATTTCTGTAGAGCTTATTGCCATTGACAAATGCATCTGCACTTGAGTGCGAAGTGCTGAGCTAGTACAAAGCAGTGTAGCTTTGCTGCTTGTAAATGAGCCGTATCGTCTTACACAGCTGACTGTCTGGATGTCCTAACAATTACACTTATTACGGAATGTAAATGTTCTAGCTATAAGTTGCAGCAACTTTCCCCTTAGCTTCTGATCCTCTTTCCTTTATGTTTGTTTGAGCCCATCCTCTAAATTAAACATTAACAGGTATTAAATTAACTCATATATAGAGTTCAGAGAGAAAAGAGGCTTATGCACACCAGGAAAAGGATGCATAAACTAGCATAAATATCTGCAATTGTCAGTGAATTTGGTAGGAAGCAATAGATGTTCTTATGGGCTGCTGACCTGTTAAAAGTGCTTCTTCCTGTTACAAGAAATCCTCAGAAGGAGTCAAATTGTATTTTATCGCCGTGTTGAATTCTCACAACGTATTCCTTAGGTTGCGTGCAGAAGTGCTTCATTTTAGATACTGTCTCTTTAGATCTATCTCTTTCAATTACCAATGCAGACTACAAAGCATTTTAGCAATGCCATATGTCAACTTAGCTTGCTAAGATATCCTAATTGGCTCTTTTTTAACTTCAGCGATGGCAGGAAAAGGAAGATGTGCTTAGCAGTCGTAAGTGTTTATGCCTTAGCACTACTAAAGTGTCTAGTCAGTTCTTACATTGAATGCAAATGTAGAGGGTTTGATATTGACATATAATACCTGTTTTTAATATGCTGGGGAGAACCAAGACACTTGAAACTTCCATTGACCATAATAGCAAGCCGTGTGCAGAGAGCTTCACATTCTTCCATACTACAAAATGAAGTGAAAAAAGAAAATTAAAAAATAATAGTGAAAACAGAGAACATTATTTATATCTAACTTTAGTTAAAGTGGAAGGGATCTGGACAGCTGCAAAAACAACTACACAAAACCTTTGACTTTAAAGGGCAACAATCAAAGCTGTAACCCTAGTCAGTACATACCAAAAGTTACTACCACATGACAGCTAGAAGAGATCCCTAATCCACCATTTATGTTTTTAGTCCATAACTAATTAGACAGTTCTGGCAACAACACAAAGGCATCAGTACCGTACACAAATGCCCGATAAGCAGTCTCAGAAATGCCATGAGTGCGAGAACCATGAAAGCTGTTATTCCCTGTGATACCTGTCTGTGGTTATTCTAAGCTAAAGGATAGAAGAAGTAAGCTTCCACAGATTGCCTTTTGTGCAGTACATACCCTTGAAAAGGAGTTACCCTTAGTCTGATTACAGGGTAGAAGAAGATCCAAAACACTACTATCCAAACAGAATTTAGGACATGGAAATGCAGTTGAATAGATAAACAGGATCCTCCTCTAGATGTGACTGCTTCGGATGATAATACCTTTGACTTGTAAATCTAAGGGCAGATGGTCTGCCACTCTACATATTATACAGAATTGTGTGAGCAGTTCTTCCAAAGCAGCACATCAGGGCATCGGCTGGGTGATACTCATCATTCCAAAGAGGAGTGAAAGATTGTTGACATACTTGAAATTCATCATGTGTCCTACCCAACCCTTCTGAGACTGCTAGGCAAGAGATGTCTTGTGTGCCTCAGCCATGGTCCAGTCCAAATCAAAGTGCTTTGACTGAACAAGCACTGGCAATTAAGTAATCCCCAGAAACAATTCCCTTAAAATAGCACAGGGCTGTGGTGAGAACTACCAAACTGCTATATTTGAGAGACATGGGGAGAGGGCTTGCTAACACATCTTCTGACAAATCAGGAAATTCACTGATTAATTCCTAATGCTCCCCTTGGCATAACACTCCCTATCTGTGGTAAAATGGCATAAAAATAGGGCTGTAGGGACTGTTGATATAACCTCACTCCTCCCCCATTGAAACAAGAGTTTTGTCTCTGAAATTTTAGTAAAAAATTCTCTCTGAAAAGTAAATAGTCCTCGAAAACTAATTTTTACACAGGAAACCATGTCTATACCTTACAGATATGTTTTCTGATATGCATGAAGGTTCACTTCATAAGAAAAATTTCTGTACTTATACAAGTAAATAATCTCAAGTAAATCTCCAATGGCCTTCAGCAAATAGTATTAGTATAGAATAATTTCTCTTTCTTCCACCCTGGGACAACAGTGTGTACACTGTCATTGTACTTCTATGCTCCTCAAGTCATTCATTTGTAGAGCTATATGTGTAGTTAGTAACAATTTGATAGATTTTGCTTGTTTACTTACAGCATATTAGTAATGAGACCACAAGTCTCTTCAGTTTAGCTGGTGTTTGCAAGTACAGATTCCTAATCTGGACTGAAAAATCAAAGCACACTCTTTCTTGAAAATCACTCAAGTGAAGTCACAACGCATAATTCATATTCCCTAAATGAGTGAGCTGGTAAGCACTTGGGCATCAAATACAACTATGTGATTTTCAAAATTCACCTTCCATAAATAATATACTACAATCTTTTTGGAGCACTTTTCCATCAATAATGTACTGGGACAACAGACACATTTTAAGAACATCTGAAAAAATTTGAAAATATAAAATATTGAGGCACGTTTTCCTGCATTCCTTTATTAATTCATCTATGCTTCAAATCTCATTTGAACAAAATGTTACATTGCTGTTTTGATTTGTAAGCTCTGTCCTGTTTGCAAATGTTTTCATGATCTCTCCCTCATTTAAAGACATTTTATGTATAGTTATACATACTATATATATTCCCAAAGGGAACATCAATTTATTGCATTTTACTACAGATGTTACAAAACAGTATTGATGTTTCCTCTGTTAAACCAGACCATATCAGAGAACTGACAAGATATTTAATGTAGATGGACTCGTCTAAGAGGATGGGGTCACTCCTGCCATTTCCAGAGTGCATAGGGAGAGTAGCGCAAGAGAGGAGCTGACGCGTCCCTCTTTAGGATACCATGGCATACTCTTTTCATACAGTGATGCAAAACAGAAACTTAATAAAATCATAAGGTTTTTCACTCCCACCTCCCTTTGTAAGGAATTTTAAGGTGGGCAGCTGCAAAAAATTAACCTAATGTTCCAAGCAAGAAAAGACACCACAGCACTGAATAGAAAGAGCATAGAAAAGGAAGAATTAATTGCATCATTTTTCTGTGCCTGCAGCCCCTTAACCCACATTCTCTTCCTTAAAAATCAAATATAGAAAACATTTGGGATTTACACAGGCTCAGCTTTCACAAGCAGGAAGGAATTGCCATAAAATTCCAAGACATAGTCTGTATTTCACACAAGGGTGAGCATATCTTCAGAATATGAAGAATATCCTCAGTTGACAGTGGGTGAGGAGACAGAACAAGAATATGCTGGCAGCTGAGGTAAGGGTTTTACCTGTGCGATGTCAGCACAGCTGCACAGCCATCCTGAACTTCCTTCAGGATGGTTTTCCAAAGGTGGCGTTTAGAGCAGGGATCCATCCCAGAGCTGGGCTCATCCTGTGGGAAAAATGAAAATGACAACACAGCAGCATGGGAAAAACATACAGTGGGTCCTGCACAGCATGAAGAACTAAGAGAACTCATAATAAAATCATATATTTTTCTCTTCAAATGTTACATTTTCAGAAGGTTTCCTAACTGACACCCTGATCAATGGTTTGCTTTAACATATACAGTTTAATTTCTGCATTTATGGAAGGCACTTTTAAGTAAAGAAGTAGATATATAAATGATGTTTATATATATTATATATTAAAGATACATTTATAAATTATTTATAAATATATATATGTTTAGTAATCTATATACATGTACTCTTTTTGACAGGAGGCACTTGCAGGTATTTTTTTCTCACTTTCTTGGAGGGTTTGGTGACTGTTTCTCTGCTACATGCACATCTCCTATGATTGCAAACAAGTGGAGAAATCCTGTAGCTCCTAGCTGGCTGCACTGTCCATCCCATATCCAGGTGTTGCTAGTATGTTTGGATTTGGCACTCCCCACCAGTTATTCCCACAGTCCCTTTGAGAGGAATTCTCACCCATGGTGGAGAGAATTCATAGGATTAAGGAACATTAACTCAGTGTAAAACCCATTTCCCTCTCGGATGGCTTTCATGGAGAAAGTGATGCTAGAAAAACTATATTTCCCCTTCCTATCTAATCCTTCTTTCCTCACTAAATCAAATTTTTACCTCATTCACCCATAGCAGCAAAAGGGATGATATCTATTTGTCAAATCTAGTCTCTGTCACTACAAAACTGGGGAGAAATAAATTCTTACGGTTGATCTTTAACCTATGGAATTCCATGAGGGGTGTCAGCACCTATTAGGGTGGTATGGCCTTGGCCAATGTATTTGTCGGAAGGATTTCAAGCTGAAACCTGGAAACAAAGTTTTCAAGGAACAAAGCAAACAAAACATCCAGTTTGATGCTGATTTTGGTGCTTGGCTACCAGCGTCAGAGGTGAAAAAATTCGGTTTAGTCTCCCATTGTCTGTGGGTTGCTAACAAAGAAAATGTAAAAAGCAATAAACATAAAGCAACCCACACTTTTACTCAAATTAATAGCCATGATCCTGGAAGCAATCTAGAAGCAGAATCAGTAGTTTATAGTGGTGTTTATAGTGCTTTCAGATAAAATAAAAAAAAAAAAATCTTTTTAAAATACTGAATACCTCCTTAAAAATCTACTAGCTTTCTAAAGCCATCCCAATGTTTTAAAGTATTTGACATGTTTAGATATTTTTCTTTCCTCTTGTTGTTCTATATGCAATTATCTGTGCCCTGCAGCAAGAAGGAGGCTGAAATGTATACTTGCAGTAGTATACTGTCATAAAGACACACAAAAACAGTTGGAGCATTTTCTAAGATCAGGAAAAGCACTGATTTAAGATTATCTCCTCCTTTTACTAACTGAACCAAGGTCAGTTTAAGCATAAAATGTAAATAAAATCATTCAGCTTAGAAGTGAGGCAATGATAGTCAGTTAGTAGCAGCAAAATATGTCTGATCTTCTGAAACACGAACTCCAAGAGATCAGTTTTGTCTGGTTCGACTTAGCCTATGATCTGTTACTGGAAGCACTGCTTTCTCTCTCAACTCTGAGGAGTAGCTTTTCTTGCCCTGACTGTTTTGAAAGGTTTATTCCACTGTTGAATGGGTTCAGCTCTTCTCAGCCAAGGCTTAAGAAAGGGATGTTCAATATTCTCTAGTGAAACAATAGGCAATGATAAGAAGGAGTATGTGGTAGCATAATGATGCAGTTCTCTGCAGATCTATTGTAGATTCCTGATCTTCAATACAAAAGGCATTATTTAAACTGGAGTGGCCAGTTTCAGGCCTAAATGAGCAGTACTATGCAAGCACCAAAACAACATGTGGTAAGTAATTCAAATTAATATAATTCAGGAGTATTAGTTTGATTGTGTGACTTCTGAATCCAACAAAAATTTAAGAACTAGCCAGATTTATGAAAGATGACCTAGCAAGAAATAGGAATATTCTGAAAAAGATGAGTTGATAATTTATTATACTAGCTCCAAATTACTACTTAAAATAAGAGTCTTCCTCCTTTAAGAGGCCAATAGATTTGCTCATATGTATTTTTCTCATGTTATGTACAAATAGAGAATACATAAACCATTATATATTTTACATTACATTACATTATTTTTTCTCCTTCTACCTGGGTAAATCTTAAAAAAATTGAATATGTGTCTGGGCCATGGGATGCTACAATTTATTTATGTTTAGGGCTTTTTTTTCCCTGCTCATCCAATTAAGCCAAGGGAAAAAAAAACCAAAACAATTTCACTTTCAATTTTTGTGAGCACTAGAGAATAAAATTAAAGGTATTCATAGAATAGAACAAAGAGTACAGTTGTACCTCCATGTATCAATTACTCCCTGACTGATCAGGAAACCACCTGATTTTCTTTAAAGCAACATGCAAGAGAACAAAATTCAATGTAACCCATTTATCATAGGCACAGTGTTACCTTTACTCACCAGTAAAAGTATTTGGGGTTTACCAACTAACGCCACAGCAGTAGAGAGCTTCCTCTTTGTGCCAGCACTGTATGTTCTCACCAGTTTGTCAGCATGGGCATTGAGGTGTAACCGGTTAACAAGGTCCTCTGCAACCTGTGGTTCAGAAATTTGAAGGCCAGCGAAGATGAGTCAGATCAGGTAGCATTTGTGCTTAGACTAAAACAATATTCTGTTCATAAATATAAAGCAAATGTACATGTTGTTTCCTTATTAATCCCCACTTGCTGCATATTATTATTTTGAATCTTAAACACATACAAAAAGCTTCTCTGGGACCCCTTAGTTCTCCAAAAAGGATAAGGATTTTCTCATACAGAAAATCTGGCTTTGTCATTTCTTGGAACATTCATTTGCATTCAGTTTGTGTCAATAGGTCAATGATCTAAAATTTCTCTCATTTCACTCATTCTCCAGTATTTATTTGATCAAACATCTTAAAGACTGAAAATTCAAGAGAAAAATTCTCCATTGGCCACAGAAAAAGATGAAAATGTCAGAAAAGCAAGGCACAGATGAAGGATTTACAGATTCTTAGACACAAAAGGTAACAGGGTTAAATTATCTTTCTAATAACTGAGAGGGGTAAGTTGACCCTAGCTGGTTTGGGTTTAATTATTTAAAGAATGTGTGATTTGAGCAAGCAGACGAGCACATCTGGAGACAACGTTCATGCCATCCCCTACAGCCTTTCTTCTTTGCCTGTCAGACACAGTTCTAACATACAAGGGTCCCTCAAATACTGGTGCTAGAGAATTTTAAATGTAGCAATAACCTTAGTCCATCTATATCAGCTATCACTGCTGGACCACCCAGGCAGACCTGCAAAAACATGAGGATGACAGCAGCAACTTTTCTACTCCTTAGTGCCAAATCCCTCCTGCAAAGAAAGCAGCAAGTGTTTAGTGGCATGTGTCTGGGGGGCTGTATCATCAAGAGGTGATCAACTTCGTAACAGAGCAGGTATGTCTTCAACCTGTATGTATGGATAGCTGGGAGATTCTTGTAAAACAAATAGTTGCATGGTGCTCTATTGCCCGAAATCAGCTGCCAGAGCACCCCAGTGGTTCATTCCCTTTGCACCCTCTGCACTGCCTTCAGCAGAAGGACTGCAAGGAAGCAAGGAAGTACTGCAAGGATTAGTCACGTCAGATGGACAGTCTCCAATTACTTCAGAAAATCCAATAGAAAAAAAAAATTCAATAAACAATATTGTGAATTAATATTCACTATTCACCGCAAACAAATTGCCATGAGCATAATAATATTTTTATTAGACAGTTTTATGCAAACTCCTTTGGAAATGATCAAGATATTTGTGACCATTTTAGCAAGATTTTTGAAGTGCTAGTTATAAAAATAAGACACTTCTGAGAGAAAGTTCTCTCTACACAGGAACAACACTGCAGTGGCAAGAATCTGCAGTATTCTAGTGATGATCCTCACACTGGTATTTATAGTCACTTGTGTTTGGTGTACCTGAATGTGGAACCCGACGGCAATGCATGTTCTCATATAAAAGCTACATTTCATAAATATTGCTCTGACTACATTAAATGAAGAAAATTTAAAAAAAAAGTCTTAACAACTGTTAAACAACCCACAGGTAATTTTATACTGAAAAGTTCAAGTCTTCTGCTATTTTAGAGTTAGTTCACAGTGACTTATTTCCAGTTACAGTCTATTTTTGTATATCAGTAGAAGTGCTGCAAATTCAGATATTCTGTAGCTTTATAAATGATCAGTCACCTAAACTATATTCTATGATATAACAGTTGAGCTTTGTTTTGTTTTGTGCAATTTTTTCACTTCCAAATACACATCTCCTTATACACCAAAACAACCCATAAAGTGATGTCCTCTAAAGCATATGGGAGACAGCTTATCCTTTCCACTAAACTGACTTTGCTATCACTGGGAATACATGAATGCTACTGACAGAAGGATTATCCTCCTACACATACACCAACAATCACACCAACAATCACAGAATTACACAGAAGAGCTTATAAAAAATTAGGATCAGAAAGTGAAAAGAATATGTCATTTCATGTTTACACCAAAATTAACATTTAGTTAACCTATTATTAGTAAACAATAAGCAAAAGAGGCCTATGTGTCACAGCTGAAATGTAGTAAAAACTACCCTTTAGATATGACCAGAACCACTATTTCTAAGACTGCTCTGAAACATTATCAAAACTCTAAGTCAAACAAAATGCCATTCTTTTAAAGCAACAATGAATGCCTCATGGGGAAGAATTTAGAAGGTCAAGGAATAGTGCCAGAGAGAGAAGAAAAAAACATTCAAGTTAGATGGCTCTTATTGTAGTCTGTAGCCCCCAAGGAGACTCAATCATGTGTCAGGCATGAACATAATGCTCCTTATAGGGAGCAACATTAAAAAGAACTGACTTTGCAAGATTTCCAATTCTACACATAGAATCCTCACCTCTCTGGTATGTACTCAAGCATTTAGTGCAGAAACACATGACTACACCATCTCCTGTTTAGTACAAGGAGAGAAAGACTAGCAAGTCTTCTGCTACAGGAATTTTTCAAGACAAGGTCTCCTTAAGGTAAAAAGAAAGGAGTGGGAATCATTTCATAGTACCCACGTTGCTGCTGCTTTAAATGTGTAGAGCTTACAAGATGAACCTTGCAGATTATCACAGTGCACACCACAATCTGGCTTGATATCTAGATATGCATTTTTGGTGCAAAACATATCAAATTAAAACAGATTTGGGGCTGAATCACAACAGCAACCTAAAGGCAGAAGGAATGGTCAGCTTCCTGATTCCTAATTTTTTCCCTGCTATTTCCCTCTTATTCCTGCTACCCTCTTCAAAGGAGCATTGTAAAGTATGCTTCAGCAAATATTAGAATATAGAGTTCATTCTTCTTTCAAGAGATGATCTCAAAACTTTTTCTCTTTTCTTTAATACATATCATAAGATTTTCAGTAATGTCTCAGCTTCATCAATATGATCTAAACAACAATGAAACACTGATTTGAATGAAATTAGAAATATTACATATTAGGTATATTGTAGAGGAGCCTGCGCATCTCCATTTTTCTGTATAATGAGTTGTTCGTATCATAGTATCTTGTAAAATAAATACAAAAATACCTCTTAAACTATTTTAAATGAAAGTCAGAATTGAACATGTGACCAATCTTCAGATACAGATACACACAATTATGCCAGAGATTTACAATTCTAATGGTTTCCTTCCTTTAGTGACTGTGAGATATATACACAAGCACTTTCTATCCCTCCTTGTCATATTCATCATGGTGTTCTATTTATGGTTTCAATTACTTTCAGCAGTGAAGAATGAGGAGATACATCAATTTATTTAGCAAGTTGGTAACATTGAGGCCAAATTAAAAGACACAGAGTTATATGCAAATATATGCATTGTGAGCGCATTTGAACCATAAAAATATTTCACATCTAGTCATGGCTGTAGTAATGTATTTAAAGTCTTTCCTCCCTTCCTCCCTCCACCCTCAATGAAGACTATAACAGACTTTATATCTATCAGCTAACTATTCCTATTTTACAATAGTCCTTAAAATTATTTACTTTTCTCTCATCAATTATAAAATCTTTAACAAAAGGTTTTTCCAAAATTAGTTTGGGTTAGTTCACCTAGCTTTGGTATAGTCAATCTATAACATCTAAACAAAACCCTCGAATACATTGTGGAGTTCCTAAAGACTACATTCATTTCAGAAGAAGCTGTAAGGTGACTCGACTTTTTGCACACATGCTAGTATCTGTGGGAGTAAAAGTTAAAGTAGGCATGGTGCCTTCTATCCAGTAGGGAACTAAGAGGCATGTCCATTCCACTGAAAAGCAGTAAGTGATGAAAATTATGTAACCACTAATGCTAATGGGAACGTGTGCATGTGGCGGCACGGCCCCGACCAGCCCTGGAACGCGTGTGTGTGGCGCAGCCCTGGCCGTCCCCGGGCGCGTGTGCGTGGCACGGCCCCGCCCTGGGCACTTGGGCCCAGCCCCGGGCGCGGAAAGGAGCAAGAGAGGGGGAGCTTCGCCGGCGCAGACTGTGCCCTCGTGGGACATGAGAGGGGGAGCCCCGGAGCACACAGAGGAGATGGACAACTCTAAACCCGGGCAGATGGATCTCGATTAGCCCTGTAAGGCCATTCATCTAAGAGAAGGTCACTCTAATTAAACCTACGTCCTGAGGACCTCACTGCCACCATCCAAGCTCACTCAGCCCCGGCAGATGAACTTTAGGATTAAAGGGTGGGTTCAGTTCCACACATACTGCGTCTCACCTAAAAAATCCATTGCGCAGGCTTGAAGGTCTTACTCACATTTGCAAAGCCCTGTAGCAACATCTTCTACAAATGCGGTCACACAAAGATCAAAAGACAAAGGCATATACACCTGCCTCCAAAGGTGTACCCAAATTAACTCTAGCATGCTGGAACATCAGAACCATGCTTGATTCAGGTGATAGTGGACATCCTGAGCGTCGTTCTGCCCTAATTGCCCATGAACTGTCACGTCTCAACATCAACATTGCTTCTCTCAGTGAAGTTTGCCTTCACGAGGAAGGCAGCCTCAGAGAACATGGTGCTGGTTACACACTCTTTTGGTCAGGTAAGCCCAGAACCAAAAAGCATCTCTCAGGAGTCAGCTTCATGATCAAAAACTATTGTTCCTAAACTCGAAACTCTACCAACAGGTCATTCCAACCACATTATCTCCCTACGCCTTCCACTCCACAACAAGCAACACATTGTCCTCTTTAGTATATATGCCCCAAGTCTCCAAGCTGACCCTGCTGAAAAAGATAAATTTTACACCGACCTGCACCACCTTACCCAGAAGGTTCCTGCAGATGATAAGATCATTATCCTTGGTGATTTCAACTCCAGAGTAGGTAAGAATTTTGAAGCCTGGAAAGGAATATTAGGCAAGCATGGTGTTGGAAGCTGCAACGATAATGGTCGACTTCTAGAATTCTGGGTGGAACAACAGCTCACCACCACTAATACTATCTTTCAGCAGAAAAATAGTCTGAAGACAACATGGATGCATCCCAGATCTAAGCATTGGCA